TAAAATTTTAACTAACCCTTTAAATTTTAAGTCACATTAATTTAAGTTTTAAGTTGTTTTGGGAATTAACAAATAACATGTGTACCTATTATCTGTATAAAGCACATTTAGATCTGCAATTGTCTTATAAGTTATATCGCTTACTTCAAATACACTTATTGATAATACAATGCAGACAAATTATTAAGTGTTTTTTAGTCTGATACACGCCATGACTATATATATATGTACACAATAAGTGTTGATGTTTAATGTGACTAATAGTCATATTACTTGATGATAAAATTTGCAATGGTGTACCAGGGACAGTATAGAGTTTATACGTCCCTGCCGGCTGTATTATTTTGTGAGTATCATTTGAATCATCTTTTTCAAACTCTGCATTGTACATGTGTGAAAAATATTATAAAAGTTCATTGCAAATTAATGACTCTCTGTATATATATATAAATTTCGTAATATTATGTTGAGTAAATGATGTAAGGAATGTGATTTCTTTAATCATATTCTGTCAAAGGCCCAATGAGTAATGCCATACAAAGCGTGACTGTACATGTGTGGTCCATTGTGCATGCATATGACTGTCACTCATCTTTCATCAACATGGATATGTTAATTTTTCCATTTTAAGGTGTACTCCTAGGGAACAATCTAATAAATTCTAACTACATGTACATATTTGTAAGTTGGATAAGAATCTAAGCATCCCTGTACTGAAGGGATCCTTTTTTTGTCTAAATGAAGGTGACTCACAGCCACCTTCCTTTTTTACCGAAGGATGGGCTAGTGTGGTTAATGTTCAAAAGACTACATACTAAAAAAAGCATGGCATGGTGTACAGTAAATTTGCTTAATTTTTCTTATATTTGTGTAACTCTACATGCATTATCTCTATATTGCCTAAATGAAGGGGACATCACCCATGGTGGCTGAAGTAGAAATATGTAACAAAATAAAAATGTTTTAAAAGTAGCTAAGCAGATTTATGATAACTGTTCAAAATGAATCATTGAGCAACTTTTGATTACTATATCATGCTTCATCTTAACTGGAGTAAAGATATTTAGTTTTGTATGATGCAGTTTGAGGTGTTGCTTAAGGTTGCCCCACACTTTCGCAATCAACCAGCAAAATTCGTTGAAACTTTCCTGTAATGGTTATGTAACTATGTTGAGTTGATTTTATGAAAATCTAAACATTCCGATAGTTTGGGGATTTTTTTGGAAAAAAAATGAATTTTCGTCATTTTTAATGTTTTCTGTTTTTTGTGTGTGTGTGGCATTGTTCGGAACAATAACAACAATAAAAAATGAAAAGAAGCATTTCTAATTTACCCTACAAATATTTTATTTATCGCAAAATATGTAACACATGTTACACAAAGTGTTTTTTATTGAGTTTGTGCGGATAAAAGTGATTATCTACAAGCTAAAAGCAAACAGGACACAAAGATCCATACATATAGAGTGGGAAATTGAACAAAATATACACATGCAATGGCTTTATAATTAATTTATTTTACATTTTACAATCACTTTGATCCGGGTGAGAGTTATCTTCCTTGAAAAAACCCGGAACTTTTTGCAGAAGGATGAAATTTACACAATGACAGTTGACTCTGTTTACATATAACAAAAATGATGGAAATAAATAAAATAAAAGATATAAAAATTATCAATATATTGTTCTTTAATGGAACCAAATTACTCTCAGTCATGTACACTTTGGACATCACCACAGTCCGCTAACTCACGGTATATTTATAATTACATGTCAGGTACATATATGTGACCAGAGGCTTTCGCATGGTATGCCGTTCTCACGTGCACTCACACATGCATTTCATAGGGATCTGGATATTTCACAAAACATTATTTTCACAGAGTAAGTAGACTACATTTGTAAAAACGATTTAATTGACAGAGCGAAACTCGCTTAATAGCAAAAATCGTAACGACCTCGAGCTTATGAACTCGTGTAAGCACGCACGTAATATGCACATGTGAGGTCGGTACACGTCCGCATTCCATGTGTTTCCTATATTGACCTTCTTGAGGTCGTCTGGTCTTATGTCACTGTCTTCCCGTGAGTCTGTTTATGTCTATGAATTGGAAAGCTTTATTCCTGAAGTACGATTATACATTTCCCGGTAAATCTCGATATCGGGTGTTGACATATCATCGGCACGCACGTGTACTATTGTTTACCAGGGACCTGTACATGTTCGTTTATGCGGAACAAATGCAACCGGTTTGTCCGTTTATAAATGTAACAATTTCGGGTATAAATCCTGGCGGACCTGCAAATGTGTATGCAGGCCTTGCAATGCTTTCTCAAAGCTCGCCTGAAAGCAGCATCAGATTACTAGGTCCGACCTTATTTATTAAACGAACAACAGTGGTCCGATCGGTTTGACCGTTTAAACGAAAACGGCCCAGGTGTTACTATAATTTGCACTACGATATTGAATGCCCGATACGCAATACGGAAATGACGACACGGTGTACATGCACATTTCGATCAAGATAATTGAGTCCGAGCTGTACTTTTTCCGGAAGTACGTCACGAAAATGGACGCTGATGACAATGTGTGGAGCCACCTTAATGTCTCTTGTTGCAATTAGTTTTGCAAAATTATTTTTTTGACCAGACCTATAGAACAGTTTTTTTACAAAGACGATGGTAGAGTGGTTTTCAAGTCATCAAATCATGGTTGTTGGAGCGTCTGATTAAGTTGATCTCGATTTACGATTTAAAAGAAAAACCTCTGATAGGATTTTACGCAGGTGGCATAAATATAATCGGCACATTGTATTTAAATATGTTTTCTGTACCAGTACGAATGTCGAGAGGGCATACTTTATGTATCCAAACTTTAAAAGTTGTATGTCTCCTTAAAAAACAACAAGCGTATACCCAAGCACAAACAAAAACATAATTCGAACTCAAAATCGATAAAACCAGGAGAGAAAATGAACAAAGGAAATGTTTACTTGGAGTCCACTAAAAAAACACTAGGAGTAGAGAGTAAGACCTCGTTTTTCGGAATGATTATACGCTCTTCTGCTTCTAGTCATGTCATGTCCAAACAATGTCACGTCCTCACAGCGAGAACTTGAGAAGCGACAACAAAACCACAAGACACGTCAATGGCATCATCAAAACCATCGACCTTCATGTCACACAAGAAATAACAGACCTTCATGTCACACAAGAAATAACACATTTCCCTAGGAGATCATGATAGAGACCAAACAATGTTACCGTAGTCTTCAGACCTTCATGTCACACAAGAAATAACAGTCCTTCATGTCACACAAGAAATAACATATTTCCCTATGAAATCTTGATAGAGACCAAACAATGTTACCGTAGTCTGCAGACCTTCATGTCACTCATGAAATAGCATATTTCCCTATGAGATCTTGATAGAGACCAAACAATTTTATCGTAGTCTTCAGACCTTCATGTCACACAAGAAATAACATATTTCCCTATGATATATGATAGAGACCAAACAATGTTACCGTAGTCTGCAGACCTTCATGTCACACATGAAATAGCATATTTCCCTATGAGATCTTGATAGAGACCAAACAATTTTATCGTAGTCTTCAGACCTTCATGTCACACAAGAAATAACATATTTCCCTATGAAATCTTGATAGAGACCAAACAATGTTACCGTAGTCTTCAGACCTTCATGTCACACAAGAAATAACCTATTTCCCTATGAGATCATGATACAGACCAAACAATGTTACCGTAGTCTTCAGACCTTCATGTCACACAAGAAATAACATATTTCCCTATGAAATCTTGATAGAGACCAAACAATGTTACCGTAGTCTTCAGCCCTTCATGTCACACAAGAAATAACCTATTTCCCTATGAGATCATGATACAGACCAAACAATGTTACCGTAGTCTTCAGACCTTCATGTCACACAAGAAATAACATATTTCTCTATGAGATCATGATAGAGACCAAACAATGTTACCGTAGTCTTCATCAACATGCTCCTTTGGAAACCTTGTATTGTAAGTTTGTCCGTCAGCAGTCGACATCAATCACGGAAGTCATGATAGTCTGAACATGCTTATTTATGAATATCGAATCAACTGCGACATATAAACACCGTGGGTTGGGTGGGGGAAGCGATGATGTTAATATCAATGGTATTATCAAGGAAGAAAATGTTCACGATCGAAAAGTCGAAATCGTCCCACTAGTCGTTCAGCTTATATACCAATAAGCAGTGAGTTGTCCCATTTGGTCGATCTTGTAAGTAAAGACTGAGGAAGTGTCGTTGTTTAAAAGCTCTTGGGTGTAATTACGGTCGATGTGGTCTATAAATGTCTCGTCATTTGAAGACAACAAATCGTCAATATATATACTTCTGAATGTGAAATTCAAGGAAATGGTTAGGTTTGTGTTACTAGTTCGGATAAGCTCATCAATAAGTTAAGCCTCGTATGAAAACAAAAACATATCGGCCGGAAGAGTACAGTTTGCTTTAATTGGAATGCCTACATATATAGACTGCAGGGAAATCTTGCAACTGAACTATCAATTTGGCCTTCGTTGTGTTTTTCATAAAATATAACCCATAATGATAAATTATATTGCTATTAACATTTCTTGGAAAAGAAAACTCATGATATAAGAACGAAGGCGTTCCTTCAGTTTGATGTGAGGGTGTGTTTGTGTAAAGGGTCGAAAAGAGGCTTTCAAGATTGATAAATAAAATCTTTTAAATTTTTCAGATTCCACATTGTATTGAAAGGATCTGATATTTTTTGTTGTATGAAGTGAAGTGTGTTTTTCAACGTTAATAAATAAAAGGTTTTGTCGCCGACTGTCGTGGATTTTATTTAAATTAAGTGCGGTGTACATTTGTATGTTGCTGATATTTTACGGGGATGTAGCGTTTACTTAAGCCAGGGATAGCGTATTTAGACTTATTTAAGATAAAACGTAGACCTGTCATCTGTTTCAGTTTCCAACAAGTCTAAAATGAATGATTTCGAGCAGCGAGCCTGTTTGGTACAGAAACCTGTTGAAAATTGCATGGTAAAACAACAATTCCGAGATAAAGTGGTCATGTCTCAAAGACCGCGTTAACAGGAATCTTTGAAAATACTATTAACATTAACAATTAAGGTAATCCTTTTCCACGATGCTTTTGTTGCTTTAATAGCGTAACCATTGACTTCAGAAAAACCCCTTGAAAAAGGCATGAAACAGCAGAACCTCTTTTACCTTTAATTTGGCACGAAATTGACTTCTGGCTACTTCTCCAATCTGTTACACGAGCTACTAAACTTTACAAAATAAAACTGCCTTCTTCGTATGTTGATCACAACTGGCACTTAAAGTCGACGATCCGTTACACGTTACAGTTAGTCGGACTTTGTTTTACATGTATAACTATGCACCTGTTTGTAGAGTTGTAAAGTTGACACAAACAAAAATCAAAGTTGTTGACAACGGATTTGATGTTGCGGTATTAACGAAAGTGGGTCACCAAACCAATTAGCTGTCGCTGTACCAGAATGAAATGAGATTACTAGAGGCGGTCGTGCCAACACCCAATACTCTGCTCTGAAACATAGCGGTTTATAGATTACCAGTAACCCGCTGCACAAGCTACTTATATAGTTTATATACGTGTATCAGTTTTATCGATCGTCAACACAGCATAAAAAACAGAAAGCAATCTTTATTTAAACTGCATGCACAATGTTGCACCAATTTGCTCAATCTTGTAGTTGCACAGATTTGTTGATGATCTCGACAGCGTCAGGTGCTCGACTACGCAGTGAGCTGAAAACCGTCACAATTATATTGTAATTGATTGGGAAAAGGTTTAAATTGTTTGCGCAATTACTATGCATGTTGCACCCGTCTGAGTTATGTCATGTTCTGAACTCTTTATCGGACAGTTGTATTTAGTAAGTCTCTAATCAGTGTCAGTCACACTTCCCCCACTCCAGCGTTAATAGCCACAATGTATTCAACAAGACAAAGTTCAATGTGCATGTAACGAGATTAATGTGATGTATTTTAGACATATCATGCTTGTAGAGAAGATAAAACGTATTTTAACATCACTTACATCTGAGATAGGAGTAAACGCACAGTAATTATATAATCTTTATATACCACGTTCGATCACAAGCCTGCATGTATATACTGTCTAAGCAGTTTGTACTATATTCTTGTGATTTCGTTGAGATTTAACATTGATGCCACGTTTACAAAGTCACGAAAGTCCGTTAATGTATGTATATTTGTATTTACAGGGGTGAAAGATTAGAGAAAGGTTCAACATCTCACCGAACAACCCAGCCTGGTTTATATCTGGACAGCGTATATTTACTGTGTATATATAAACTTAACATTCGGTGACTTTATTTTAACAATGAGTGATCATTTGGATATCCAAAAGCCGCTGAACGACCATGGAAATGGCCTGGAGAATGGAAAGAATCCTGCTTCCAAGAAGACCAGTAGCCAGACTGTGGGGGAATTCGTGCCTCCTGATGGAGGGTGGGGATGGGTGGTGTGCTTCACATCCATGCTCACCAATGGCACAGTGTTCGGAGTCATCAATACATTCGGAATAATATATGTGGTGATGCTGGATGAATATGCCAACGGTGACCCAAATATTTCCCTGAAAACATGTAAGTTGTCAGTTAAGATAATATATCTATATACATAGTACCAAGGATATTGGGGTTTTGATTCGCCTTCTGTATATACCACGACTAACTGCATCGACTGTCTGATACTGTATATAGTACAGTAATAGTTCTTATAGATTATACATGTATCTAATGAAAGAATCTGTAAAATATTGATTTCCCAATAGAGATAGTTTTCAAATACAGCAAGCTACAAAATGTTACTGTATAATAATTACCCTATTGCTTCTAAGGGCTGTTTGAGCACACGGGATCATTCACGTTACATTAAGGTATTAAGTCACAAATTGAATAAGTTATTTTCACTTTCATTAATATTGCAGACATAACTTATACGCCCTGGACTTAGACTCATTTATTTTATATATATAGTTACAGTAAAAGGCTGTTTTTGATTAAATCGAGTTAAACATTTGACTCCATATGTCAGTAAATTAAATTCAATTGGTATGCTGGGTCCTGAATGTCCTGAGCTAGAGGCTGAGGAGAATCGTCAACACCCATTTTCTTCGAGGATAATCATAATATTCGACTGTTATCAAATCTTCACATATTAATGAAGTCGGTTTTATAACATGTGTGCAGTTTTCATTTGATCATGGTGTTGTCATTGCGAAACGGTATTCATTATATGAAAATTCTGTCAAATTGCTGTTAAAAATGTGGTAATGTTCAAGTTGATGACGTGAAAATGTTGTAAAACACTTTATATCGTTTCTCACAAAGAACCAAAAGATTTGTGTAATTCCAATATTAAATTTATTTACATTTAATTAATGCATATCTTATGATTAAACGTTTATATATAATTTAGTTTATACGTGTTCGCGGTATTTCATGTAAATGTGCACGCGCACGAGACGTCAGCACCCAAGAGAAGGTGACATTTACGTCTGGTATTTGACTTTATCAAATATCCCAGTTATTTGATAACATAATCAGCAACACAGTGCGATAACAACATTGATAGATAATCTGCATGTCAATCATGTTATACGAATAAATTGTATATTTTGTGTAAAGGAAATATACATTCGTATACACACACCTTTAACTTGTACTCGCATCCTGAAATTTAGCGCTGTCAGGTCTCGGTTTTTTGTAAAGGTTTTCGGACTATGTCATGTATTAGTACATGCCGTCCACAAGAAAGAAATCCTCATCGCTACATGCTATGGAAGTTATATATATTCGTACTTCTTAAAGATGTGAATTTATCATCATGACGATGTTTCATTAATACTTCTAAAATAGATTTATATACAGCAGCTCAATTTATAATAATATTTTCGTGCTTATGTTTTTAATTTCTTTGTTGCCCTGCGTACAGTACAGACGAAAGTGATCTAGAATATATAGGTGTGGAGCTGATACTTTAACTATAGATTCAATAAATGTTTTGAAAGTGCAGGACACATACCTCTGCTATGTTTAGTCTGTCCTTGTACAGATTATGGTAATGGGATACCCAGTTGAACGTCAAATGAATACACATAGCATACTTGACATTTCAGACACCTGAATTGTAAGGTAAACTTGACTTGGTGTCCTTACAAACAACGACACTTCATGTTTATGTACTTAGTTGCAAATAATAGAAGCCATAATGCTGGTCAGTGAATATTTTTAGTGACCAGACTTGGGGTAAAATCCAAAAACAGTGATCTCATTTTGTTATGAAAAAACAAATATTGAAATAAAAGTCTTGTCACAATACAGATGTTGTATTACTTTCATAAGGACCAATATATCCCCCTTTTATTTCAGACTTATCTTAAATGTTTAAAGCGTGATATATGAATCCAGCCCTATGTATTTTAGAATACTTTTCTTTTCATATCTGAGATATGATACCGTTTACAAGGAAATTTTCGCTGCAGTTGATTTTTGACCTCTCTTACCCTCTGTAATGAAAATGAGGGCGAACATATAACGAATATAAGTACACAAAAACACAGCAATATCTGTGAAGGACGAACTTAACACTGAGTGGAAATTGAAGGGCAAACGTTTTCCTGTATAAAACGTACGTGTCCTCCTCTAATTATGTTAATTCAGATTAGGATCGGACTGTCCATATATTAGGACAGTTTCTTAACCTGAACAAACTATACCACATTATCCTAAGCATTTGATCTGAGTTGTTGCTCATGATCACTAATGAGTGGTTCAAAAGTGGTCCCTTAAATACTACACTGTATAATATGAACCTCATAGATGTTCCATGAAAATATATCTTGATGCTGATCTATATCTGTATGTCCGTGATACTTAACTTAACAAGTGTCACAAAGCCGTCCACGCTTAACACTTATCTTTGTTGAAATATAGTTCAGTGTGTCCCCTTGGTTTACATTGTGAGCTACAGACCTCCTATAACCTTGACACTATGATTGACGTCTGAATGGGCTCGTACTTGTAATCGTGGCGTATTTATATGAGTCAATAAACTTCAAATTTGGGGACTTTGACATTTTCGCTTAGCGACTAGGCTACAGCTATTTATACACTTCTATAATTTAAAATTTTGATTAAATTCAACGAATGCTACCTGGCAAAGGATTTTCTTCGAAATCATTGTTATAATTAATTTACTTCTTTTGTTTCTACATTATTCTATATTTTATACCGATCTGCAACGAGGATACTATAAACGTAAAAATGCTGCATTATTTAGTATGCACATGCATTATAACAGTATAGACTGTTTGTTATAGTAAAGAGTATAAAGTTTCTGGTTGCAGCGGTAACCTGAGAAAGGGTTAAAATAACCTAGCATAGGGATTGTCCCCATCTATCAGCAGCTTAGGTAACAGGCTTGCAAGATGGTGAAAGGGTGCACACGGAGGGTATTATATAAAGCAATATGTTTGAACAATAAGACCTGGTATAAAATTTAAATACTTTGACGAAAGTATAAATATTGATATAAGCTAAAAACTTAAGATATTAAATGGAAAACATATTGCAACCGCTGCATATGAAAATTTGTTCACAAATACATAAGAATATATACGAAAAAGACATACACTGCAAAGCGTGGTGCAGTTGTGCACTGATACAAAAGAACTTGTAGATAACCATGGTGACCTAGATTTTTTACTCCAAATATCTGTCAAGGTAATAAGATTGTTTTTTCTAAATCGCAGACAAAACAAAATGTTCCCCAGTTGCATCACATTGCGGAGGCATACTAATATATGTGGTTTCCTTGGTTTCTTCGCTTGTTTTGTTATGAAGGAAGAGTGGAGGGGGTTACTGTAATAAGATCATCAGATGGACAGTGAATTTAGTATGTCTCCCCTTGGAATGAAGGGAGACATATTGTATTAGTACTGGTTCTTCTTCTTCTTCTGGTTCTTCTAGTCGCAACGTGTCCGGGTCATAACTTTTAAACCGTCAAAGATATCTTGATGGAACTTTAGGTACATACATGCATCTCCCACAGAAGTTGTGCCGTGCACTGGAATTAGGTAACTGTGACCTTCACCTCAAGGTAAAAGGTCAAATAAGAGCAATATTTTCAGTAAATTCTTGTCCGGCCCGTAAATTTTAAACCGTTAAAGATATCTTGACCAGAAGGTGTGCAGTTCACTATATACAGAGTTATGGCCCTTTGTTCAATTTTAATACCGAAGTTTGTCCGGAGCATAAGTTCCATGTTATTTCACCTACGTTGACAAAACTTACCATATTTATGTATCCTGGGAAGGCGGAATCTCTCGCAATAAAATAAGGTTTTATTCCCCACGAAGTATGTTCACGGCATACTTTCTAAACCATTACAGATTACTTAATCAAACTTGAAGTATACCTGCATCACCCACAGAAGGTGTGCAGTGCGATGGAATTAGGTCTCGTGCTTCACTATATACAGAGTTATGGCCCTTTGTTTAATTTTAATACCGAAGTTTGTCCGGAGGATAAGTTCCATGTTATTCCACGCACGTTGACCAAACTTACCATATTTATGTATCTTGGGAAGGTGGAATCTCTCTTACTAAAATCAGGTTTTGTGCCCCGCTTTATACAGAGGTATGGCCCTTTGTTTATTTATAATTGCGAAGTTTGTCCACAGCATAACTTCCATGTTATTTCACCTACGTTGACCAAACTTGTTATAGTTTTAATGTATCTTTGAAAGTAGGAGTGTCGCATTCTAAATTCGAGTCTCGTGCCCTACTATATAAAGAACTATGGCTCTTTGCTATTTTTTCATACCATAGTTTTGTCTATTGGCTAATAAGGGGAGACATGTTTTTGTTCACAAAAACAACATTCTAGTTTTTAACTATATTTCGCTCTTCTATTTAGGCTTCAAATATAGCGAAAATGTAACCGAAATTTAAACATTATGCATGTATTATCTTTATTTTATAAATATGGTTATTTCACTACTAAATGTTCTTGTTTCATGCTTTCATATGTAAATGAGATTGGTTTCATCTCTTTTTATATTTTTTTTGCAGCCTTTGTTGGTTCTGTGTGTACGGGTGTGACATTTTTGATGTGCATTGTATCCAGTATTTTGAGCGACAGAGTCGGGATCCGACCCGTTGCTGTGACGGGTGCAGTGTTGGGAATGTTGGGTCTAATAATCAGCGCCTTTGTGAAAGAACTAGAGATTCTTTATTTAAGCTACGGAGTATGTCTTGGCGTTGGTGCGGCCTTCTCATATTCCCCATCTCTTGTGATTCTCGGACATTACTTCAAAAAACACATGGGACTTGTGAACGGAATGGTGGCATTTGGTAGTGCCCTATTTACCATAGCTTTGTCATTAGGACTTCCGAAGATGTTAGAAGTATTAAAAATCAAATATACTTTTCTTGTTCTCGCAGGATTATACTTCATTCTCATCCTCGGTGCTTTGACCTGGAAACCTTTAATACAGAAAGAAAATCTTGCAGCAATGGCGTTGTCGACAGAGAGCGTGTACGAACATTGCAATGATTGTTGCTCATGGACAAAAACGTTTTTAAATGTTCGGATATTCCGGAACAGAGCTTACGTTGTGTGGTGCCTTTCTCTTGGTGTCGCACTTATTGGCTACTTTGTTCCTTTTGTACATTTGGTAGGTATTTCATATTTCATATTTACATCACAAGAAATTGTCTACAGTCTCATTTGACAAAGGCTATCATAATAATATGTTCTAAATGTATGGTTTTCTTCTTGGAAAAATGAAACTAAAAGTATTTATTTATTACTGGTAAAATTCAGATTTTAAAAACTGAATTTCATTATCAATCTAGTATATGAAAAACCTTAGACACATAACAACATATTCACGTATTGCTAGATTTCAGTGAAACTGCAATTAAACATAATTAAATCAACCCTATCGTGCTATGGCCATCCATCAGTAACTTATTTTAAACATTTTGAAATGTCAATGAATTATTGCGGCGAAAATTTCCGTTTGTAGGATGATCTTGGCCGTCATTAGCTATCACATGTTGATCATACTGATATGAGTATTGATAACATGCATACACTTGACTGGTAGTGTTAGTTCTCTATTTTGTTGTCAGTACAAGATTTCATTGAACGTTTTTCATATGTCATACTTTCATGAATTACTCAACATATATTTGGTGTTATTTAATCACTGTCTGAACTTTTACATAAATATGCAAAATTAACTAAACAATACTTTCATATAAAAGGTCCCAAGCTAACAATGCCCAGATAGACATGGCTGGTCCATGCCGACTTGCAGTGGTCGGTTGCTCAGAGCTTGATCAGCTTCATCAGTTTTCAAAAAAACATCTGATGTATTGTAAAAAGAATCTATTGAAATTAATAACTATAATTTTATTAGAAGGATCTAGGATAGTTAATTGAACAGGATAAGACTCGTTAGTTTATTATAAGATATTTTTCAATTCGATGGTAAAAAAATGTTCGTATAGACTCATTTAGGTAACCAAACATTCAATCATTGTTCCCTATCGATGTATTCAGCCTATCCTCTCACACTCTTCCTATCTGTACAACCTGTCCTTTCAGAGTACATGATTTAGACCACAATTTCTGAATTGATCTATTCTAACGTCCTGTTTAACCGCCTGTTTCATAACGTCTGTCTACAAAATTTAGATAGATCCAGCGCAAAATTAAGGAGGGAGAATGACGTTAACTGTTAGATTAGATTAGCTATTCCCAAATCATAAGCCACATACGAAGGCCAAGTTACAAAATGTCAAAAATGTCGAAGGGGAGATTGTAAATGAAATATTCTTGAACTATTTTAGATATATTTTCAAATCAAAGTCTCTTATGTCAATGCAGCTTTGTGTGTTATAATCTGGTGAACTTATTTATGAATGTCAAATTGAGCAGATGTCATTCCGTTGTATTTCAGGTAAAACATACAAGGGATGTATTTCCCGAGTCGAATGGAAACCTGCTGATAACTTTCTTGCAGATTACGTCAGGAGTTGGACGGCTGGTTTTTGGCAAAGTTGCTGACCTGCCCTATGTCAATCGCATTTACCTTCAACAGGCGTCTTTTTTTGTCATGGGTGTGGTAACAGTATGTATACCGCTATCCGGTAGCTACGGAGGACTTGTTGCCATAAGCCTAGTATTCGGGCTTTGTGACGGAATTTTCGTTTGCTTGCTCGGGCCGATTGCCTTTGACATCGTTGGACATAGAGAAGCATCTCAGGCAATAGGCTTTTTACTAGGCGTCTTTGCGATTCCTTTCGTAGTCGGACCGCCAACAGCTGGTAGGATTTGTTCTAAATAAATGAGAAAGAAAACATAAAAGTCACTTATTGGGTTATGCTATAATATAACTTGATTTGGTACACAAGTACATCTTTGGATGGCAGAGTATCACATGTTAACCCACAACTGTGGGGCTAGATTGCCTTGAAATTGTTTGCATTGTTCATTAAGAAATGTTCTCAAAGTATTTTTCCTGGAGTTCTTAGCGCAGACAGGATAAAAGTCTGACGACAGTTCTAGTTTACATTAAATAAAAAAACCTTGTTGTAGCTTCAATTTAAATCTACATTAACTTCGGAGTCAAGGTCTATGTTATTTCTGCTTAGCGTACTATCATCACATTTTGTGTGTTTCTCTTTTGTTTGTGTTTTTAACATAATAACAATTTTGTCTCATTGTAGGAATTATCTACGATTCTATGCACTCCTACGACCTTGCGTTCTATATTGCTGGAGGAACACCAATTTTAGGGTCGCTAATTATGTTTCTTATCCCCAAAGTTAAACAGGTAAGTATATCAAGCATACTGAACATAAAGCTAGTATAATTAGGTCTCCACACTTGATGTCAAGGTGACATTGGAATTAAAGGTCGAATACATTATTTGATGTTCAATGACATTTAAGGAATATATTGTGAATGAAAATATGACGTATCATATACCACTTTGAGGTCTATACGCCTAAGGTACAGATCACATTGAGGTCACACCTGATCTCAGTCTCGCTGACCCTTTCGGGGAGCATAATCCACCAGTTTTACTGATGTTCTTATTTTATTCCCTCTTGAACTGTGTCACCTTTGATTTACCGTTATCATCATTTGATGGCTTAAAATGAGAAATTTAACATTTGTTCAGAATGTCACTGCTTAGCTCATTTGGAGCCAAAAACAGACCAATACATGTCATTGCAATTTTAAAAACATCTCTTCACTATTATTACTTTTTTGCATACCGGTGTTATAGACACTAGTCGGAACCTTGACTGTCTCACTAAATGATTTTGTAAAGGCGAAAGTTCGCATTTAAGAAATCGGTTTACTAAGACACCGGTACTATTGACAATTTAAACGTCTCGCGAATACTTCTTTACGAAGTTACTCTTTTAACCGCATTTGCCGATAATTTGAATTTACAAAAGGAATACTTGTTTTTGAATGTACTTTCCTCGCGGATAAATGCGAAATAAGATATCTTGATTTTATCTTAGACATTTGATATGTATTGATTCTTCTGTTTTAATCAAAACTAATAATTGCATATGCTATTTTCCATCAACATCACATCAAACTACTCGTTAAATTGATTACATTAACATCAGGATGCAATATGTTATTTGTCATTCGTCTCGAAAGATGCATGGTGAGGTTAATTTGTTTGTTTAACATACGTGTTTTGTCTTTTTATTTCCGTGCATGTGACTTCATGTATTGTCCGTCTCTTATGTGCAGTTGCACAGAACAGGAAATGCAACTGTGGGGCTTAAAATAAGTAATTCGAACAATCAGTATTCATATTTGAATTTAAGGTTCAGCATCTACGTTATGTGTTTTGTTTTGAATACGGACTATATTTATAAAAGCTACAATCAGTCAAAAGCATGTACTGAAAAGTTTAGTAGAAATCACAGGTATCTTGAAAATCTTGTTATAATCTGAGAATATAATTTTGCATCTTTTGTATTTTTCGTGTAGAATTACCCTGCTGTAACAGAAGTGGAGAACTTTGCATCCATTTCAATGCTAGATCTTCGCGGCAGAGTTTCGTCGAGAGGTACGTTATGTATTGACGTTATATGTTAATTTGTGGTATGATTTTTTCCAATTTTAATGATTAAAAAATCTTACGTGTACTACTTTAGTACTTGATATCAGTATATTTATGTTGCTTTATGATGATTCATACAGAATTTATCGTTGGTATATTAAAAAAATCATAATTTTTCAGTTGAAATGGAGAGGTATGATGATATCAATGCAAGGTCTGGACCATCTGCAACTGAACTTCAGATAGTTCGAGCAGAGGACATCATTTTTCAAAATGGCCACATCGATCACTCACCTGGAGATATGGATGTAACATTAAAAGTTGAAAGGTCTGGAAGAGTGAAAAACAACTATTCTGAGGAAGCAAACTTATTGTCAGATAAAGGAAATAGTGCTAATGAAAACGACTCGCACATCGAAAGTAATCCTCAAAACAACGAAAAGAAACCTAAGCAAGGAACCGAGGAGGAATTCTCTGAATTCAACGATAATGCAACGGAAACAAGAGAAAACGATGACCGATTTTTCATTGATTCACCTGAAGAAAGTTGTGAAGCTGATACTCTGCTGCAAGAAGTCAACGAATGCTTAAAAGAAAGACATTCTCCGATCTCAGAGGTTTAAATGGACAGTAATTCCCGAAATTGTTAAGAAAATTTTAAATCTTGTTCTGTGTTACATTTTATTTTAATGTTGACTCAAATTCCGCAAGTAGGGACAATTGTTACGCATATTTTATGTCTGGTTAAACTTTTCTAGTGTAGATTTTTACAGAAAGGGTTGCACATCCTTTTAATTACATGTATTGTATGAACCGTAGATAGGTGTTTTCAATGGTAATTTTTTATCTATAGGATAACGATGTCTCGTCCATAAATTTGCTGTTTAAAAAAAATCAGGCGTTTTTAGTTTTTTGGTTAAATATATCAAGAGAATGTGGAAATGCTGAATAAAATACATAATAAAGGCCGTAGGCCTGAGTTATTACCTTTTGCAATATTTTCGAATCCGACTGATTTATTCCGCCAAATATATACCGATATAAGTTAAATTCTCTTTTACTACTTCAGAACAGTTATTATTTTTGCACTTTTTCCTATTTACATATTTCTCCTTTCGACTGTTACTAAGCACCTGCAAAAAAAGCGATATTAACATAATATACCCAAATTGCAACTCAAGTTATCAAATAAGATTGTTGTAACATGTATACATTACCTCAACTTTTTGCTGGGTTCCTCATGAAATTGGCATGTAACAGCTTTAACATTGTTTTCTACATCTTGAATGATGGCTATAGAAACATATATGAATTTTAAAACATATCATGCATAATTCTTACTCAGATAAACATATCATTTAAGGTATCAAAAAAATTCAAATACCAGTGAAAGTGCTGCCTTTTAAACCTGTATACTGACCTCACAACTGAAGATATCGATGTCAATCTGAAACTTCAATTTAAATACTTACATCGCGGAGTGCTTGAAAATAATATAGTTGACAGTATATGTTAAAAAAAATATCGATCCGGAATCAGCTTTGTTGCACCTCCAAAATGCCTTGCATATATGTTTACACGGGAGAGGGGTTATTTTATATATTTTAATTACGCGCGTATGCTTACCAAGTGAAACTGCAATCACCAAATTTAAACTTGGTAGAATAATTTACTACATGCTTTATGATAAACTTTTTTTTCCTATTTTCGTTATAAAAATGTCTTTTTTAATTTTGATTTCCGATTTTGATTCTGTTATTGATCACCTCATCTCTTAATTATAACTTCAAATTAATCTTAATTATTCAATCGTTTGCTTTCAGTGGTTTTTATGAGATTTTCACTTAACATGAAATTAGTTTCGCTTTCGTCAAAAAGTTATTTTGATGTTTCCTGTTCCCGTTGCCGTTGTTTTTATCCACCTAAAGTACTGATATTTTACTGATGCTACCCTACGGTCATTGTATTCGGGTTTTTTCACAATGGCAGCAGATTAAAATCGGACTGTTTTTCGTTGTCAATAAATTTATCGAATATAACGTATGATTCTGTACAAATATTTAGAAATGAGTAAAAAAAACATGTTATACTAGGTAAAAATTGGCAGTAAAAGAAATAGAAAACCACATGACATGTGTAGACCACTACTTGCACCAAAGTGAACATTCTATGGACATCTGGCTTTAAATGAACTTTAGGACAAACATACGCTTTATATAGAGAGGGTTATTTCAAAGTTTGATATTGTCATCATTTAATAGATTTAAAAGAAGAGAGCAAATTTGTCCATGTGCATTATTACAAAAAAAACACCACAACTTCATAAGCAATATTATTATTTTATTTGGGTTTTTCACATTTGTTTTCTATTTTGGCCTTGCAACTTTTGTTACGAGGTGATACATCCATTTGAGCACGTGTAAATTGAAAAGATTGCAAATATCAGTGTTCGTAAACTTAAAATATATACTTTTAACTGACATCTTTGTTAAGATAGATATTCTTTGTTATTGCGTACACGAAATAAAATGACCGAATTAAAAATAACAACATATGAAAAACGTTAATACATTTGGATGAATTCTGCAATTATTTTTTTTGTAAAAATTGCTATACGATACGATTTCTGTTCGTTGATACAATTATTACATCTTTATGTATGAAAAAATATGGAGTCTCGATCAAATTTATCATGATAGCAATACTCAGTTAAAAACACAAAAACACGTCTCGTGATCAACTATTTGAAAGAGTAATAATGGCTTGTGTCTATTTAACAAGTCCTAGTAAGTCGAATTCGTTTTCTGTTTACCAAGTTTTCTAATGCTGATAATAATAATATTTATTCAGAAAAAGGCATTCACAACAAAACAGTTTCATATAAGTAGGTAATTTACAAAGTTGATATCTATAATTTACGTATATCATTACACCTTGGATAGCCCATCAAATCAATAGAAAGCTTATTTCCAATGGGGTCTCCATTTCCAATTGTATAATGGAATGTACAACATTGTTTCTTCACTTAACACCGTTATCCTGGCAATACGCTGGGCCATATATTTTGGCAACTGATATATTCGGATTGTTGTGGGCGCACTGATTGACCTAGTGTTAGTTGTGCTTAACAGTAGTGGCTCGTCTTTTTACTTGTTGTTGACAATGTGTAGTAGAGAAGATGTGTATATATACAAATTTATACGCAGTGTTGCCTGAGCCGTTATTATGTTCATTACACAGGGAGCGTTATTGGTGATTTGACTTACTTACTTTCTAGGTTTGTTGTGTCTTTCATACATTTTCAAGATGTTTAAGATTTATTACTAGCTTGTGACGTCACAGTGACCTTTTCTTAGGTTTTTATATTGTGACAGATTGTGCTATTTATTTATATCGTTATGTAAACCATATAATGAATAAAGTCTCCAACAGTATATATCCCCGTTTCATCGGAATTTCATAAAATTCGCTGAAGCTTGTTTCATAAAATACGTGCAATAGCTCAATTTATAAGCTTTGTGTTGGTTAGCTTTCATTTGTAATTGTTGATTTGTAATCTATTTGATGATAAACGTGATAATGGATATGAAATCGAAGAATTTGAAGGTCATACATCATCATCATATGGTGACTACACATATAAGGAAGTTTTATATGTAGGAATGGGCTGACATGTCCCGGCTTCCTTACTGATTCACATGGAGATTACTTTACTGATAGCCACGTGGCAGAAAGGAATGTCTTTTCTATTTGCTAATACTTCAAAATGAAAGTAAACTGGGCTTACGTAAAGAGAAGAAATCAATTGATTACTTAATCAAACTACTTCGCGTAGTGTTTGTGGATATTGTTATGAAATGGTGAGTGTTACATGTGTTACAGCTGTGTATGTGGTAATTTATCAATGATAGTTTAATAAAACTAGGTTAATCGTCTATGCTAAATACTTCATAACGTTTTCCATTTAATATAAAGTAAAATCAGCATTTAAGAGTCGCAACGTTGTGAACCTTGTATTTCATACATCGCTCATTGTGTACATCTGACTTGAGGTTTAGTAAATGGCATTGCAATAATCTTTGTTCTTACCCTTTAATTTTGCAAATGTTTTATGACGTAAGCAAAGACAATGTCTGCATATTAATGTTTTATGAATGTTATCAAAATGTGGTAAGTAATGTTCTTCATTTATACTTTTACCCAGTAACTCGCTTTAAATGTGTTAAACACGCCTTTATTTACTCAGTTGGCCTGAAAAAACAATGTGCTATTACATCAACATCTCGTATTTTACAAGTAATAAATTAGTGATGTATTATTGTATGTCCATGGAGATTAAATCATACTACTGATTTGCTTCTCAAGAGCTTGTTCTAAAAAACAGGATTTTCCATATGGATGCGTCCTGTTGACCAGTTATCTATTTCGCACGGTTTTCCACCAAAAACATTTTATTCATGCTGAAGTTATTTTGCAGTCATTATTCTGACTAAATTTTCAACTACACTGTACAGTTTCTTCCATGGTCATTTACATGTATACCGTGTTTGAGATCGTTGCGTACCGACGTACTTTCCTGAAGTTGAAGACACCCTAACATTTGAAGCGCTTATCATTCCAGAACATATTTGGTTTTACTTCCGAGTGTTTATGGTATTTCACTTTTGTTTCCTTATTTGTAATTGCTGTTGTTAGCATCACAGGAAAGTGAACTTAGATTGCATATTTCGTATTTAGCATTACTCAATAACTAAAAGATCAGAGAGTTCAAATGTATATGGGTAGGAAAAGGGACCCACAAGGGGAAACGAGTATACAGATTTAAACGACTTCTTAAAATCTCACTGGTTTAACGGGACTTAATTTTGTATGTATGTTTAAATTTACACGAATGGGTCAAATGATTCATCACTGGTCGTAGTAATTACTTGTAACAAATCTGTAAAATGGATGCATGCTATTGTGTTATATTGCATTTGTTGTATTATTTTGAAATTGTTGTTACATTATGTGATTTTGTCGGAGTTGGCCTTAATGTGCAGTATACATTACACATGATGTACATGAGTGCTGTGTCAAAATATTTTTGTTGGACGTTCGAGTAAGATGAATGTATGATTCCCGATTAAGTCCTCTTCATAAAGCTGTAATCTAACTTATCCAAGACATATTTACTGCTTATGTATATAGAAGCTCCTTATATTGCCCGCTGTTGTTTAATGGTCGACCTAATAAGTTAACTGCTACTGTTTATATTATCATATTGCAAGTGTAAGTGTGCGTTTTTTAACTGTTACAGGGCTTTCCTTCAGATTAACAAGAATTTATTATATTCGTGCTATGTCATTCATGAGAAATGTAAAAGAATCCAGCGCTTGTCGATTTATTCAAATTAATAAACTGAACTATTCCAGAAATATTTATCAAACACTGTTGCCTGAACCTATGAATTCTATTCTGACAGATATGTCTCTTACCCATGATTTTACATGACATTCGAGTTTAAGGAATTTATGGATTTTCAGACTGCAAATGTTCTAAAAATAAAACGCTTGAAAGACCAATCAACGTATAATAGAGCAAAACAGGATTAAATATATTCGATGTAAATGTATTTTTTTCGGCGAAATAGTAACCATTTAGAAATATTAAGTAAATTATCTGTTCTACATGTATGTCATTGCCTTTATATTCTCGATCAATGCCTGTGACACTAATCAAGCCCTAGCAGAAAGCATTGAACCATTGGTCATCACTACAGTTACATTAACACCGTCATGAGACCATTACAATTGTCACTTTCTAACATGATCAAAGAAGGTAGCCGATTCAATTTCAATTCCGTGTACATTTATTAATGAAGTTTGATTTGTATTCAAGATGTTTACCAAAAGTGTTTTCGTATGGTTATACAAGTGATAGCGTAGTTAGCATTAATTAATTATTTTATATTTGCATAAATTAACTTTGATATTATGTAAAAATAAATGAATTAATGAATTCCATTGATTCCTAAATGTGTTGCCAACCCAATTTTCAGCTGGCTTTTACTGAAGGTGTGTATTGATTTACGATAGGGAACTTCGCTAAAGATGTCGTCTTTTTATAAGTACATGTTTTTGTTTGGCCGCTTGTCTTCTGATGAGTTAAATTATGTCAATTTGAATGTTTTGCGAAATAAATCATTTCAGAATATATACCAAATAAGAGAAGTGCACATCCCTTTTCTGAGAGAGTTATTCAGTTATATTTGATGAATGGCAATTTCGACTCAGATTCGTTGACTACAAAGTTGAAAGGTTCAAAAGAATGAATTGTAATGATAACAATCTGTTGATCTGAATAATTAGTTAATTCAAGTATTTCTAAGGAAGATAACTCTGAATCAAATGACTGGTATCGGCTTTAAGCCAGCAGATAACCTTGATTGGAATTATTTTAAATTCAGTTACATTTAATGTAATAACTAAAAAGCTTATTATAGCTCATCTGATAGCTCTTTTTGTTTTCGTCAAATCCTTTAATGCGACGAAGGATCCCGTTTACATCTATGATTGTTTTGATTGAATCTATAATGCAGTATTACACATTTAAACATTGATATCAAACTTTTACTTTTTACACAAACAATGTACGTATTAAACGTGTCGCAACGTTTCAAGACCGACTGGTCCCTTTGTCAAGCTATGACTGAGTGAGCGATTTGTGTTATTTACCTGTAGAACGATGTGACGAAATTGATGGCTACCTGTAACCGCTCCCTATCGATAAGCGAAACGTCTCGGGTCGAGTTACATGCAAAATATACAATTTGATCACATCGTTGTACAGGTAAATAATACAAATCGCTCACTCGGTCATAGCATGATATTGTAAAGTTAGATCATTTGAACTAATTTGCATTGATTAACATCGATCAAACCAGTAATGCTTTTTATTTAACGGGACAATCAACTTGCTTCATTTCGATATAACATATTTTCACTTCATTTATAGAAAAGGAAGAAATGTAAATTAATAAGATGGCAAAGATTTAGATATGCACTAACCTTGAAACGTGAGCAAATATGTGGTCTGAGGCCATATCCCTTTTTGGGGTTTTGAGTAAATATGTGTTGATGTTTTCGAGATAGATATGCACTAAACAGAGACTAGTGACTAGCATTACTGGTTTTCTTTTGGTTTTATATGTAAGTTTGTTACTCGTTTTGTTATTAATACAGATTGTGATGGAATCAAATCAATATTTTGTTAGTTGAATAAAATAATATCGAATCAATGATATTTTCCCATGCGTTTAGCCTTTTTTTTTATTGTATATACAACAGCATTTTAAAAAAAGTGTCTGGGAAATAATAATCTTTTACATCAGGTTGAAAAAAAATCGTTCGTGTTAATGTTCCTTGATGCCCCATGATCAAAATAATTATTCGGTTAGTTTAAACTTTGTTTTATTCACATAACATGTGTAATACATATTACAAATATGACTAAACATAAATGAATTGGAGACGGAAACAAGTGTTTATACACTTATATAAACATGATACCTTCCATCGTAACCAACATTAACAACTATAGCTTAGGGATAGTGACGTGAATACATTACAGGGGAAGTTAGAAGAGAGTTGGGGGAAATGCCATTAAGACACTGCATTTCATTGAAAAGGACATAGATATAAATAATAATAACATAAGACATCTGATATATACAAAAATGAATGAAAACATTATTGTTAACAGAGTTAACATCAGAGCTCCATTTCACCATGGAAATAATTAGATACTAGAAAATATGTATTTGAAAATAAAGATTACATGTGACCTAGTAATGGGCTTTACTAATCAAACATGGTGTTTAAAGTCACGGATATGATGTTGAACAGTGAGTGGGGAACAGAAAGTTAGCTACAGTGGTATCTGATAACAGACAGCAATTGATATTGCATTGAACAGTTTCTAGTTAGATACTTATATTTGGTAATTAAACGTTCGCAGTTAAGTACCGGGTTTTGCTAAGCCATCATACCATTTAGTCAGGAAAATGGCGTATTAAATGGGAAGGGATGTGAGTTTATTCGGTTGTTGACTCGACTAGACGGGATAGCGCAATGGTTTATCATGAAATAGTATTATTTAGTCACAAACACTAGCCGATAGATACTTACAAAATGACATCACTTACATTGCGAATAACGTAAATAATTGCAGCAGTTGTGATTATGACGGTTTTAGGTCTAGCGATCCTTAATACAGTACACTTTTTGTCAAATATACCATGTGATCACTCGGTGTATACACAAAACATGGGTATACATTATATACATTTCATTTGATACACTAAAATGCAAACTCAATATTGAAAATTTACATCTATCTTTTATTTTTTTCGCACATTCAAATAGTATGATTATGGCCATGATATCAAATCGGTATGCTGGAGTTATTACTGGTTCCTATATCTCATAATCTCTGACGTCATCTCAATTGACATGGAAATGCCAAGCAGTACTGCAGTGACGACCTCTGACGCTATAAAATCTGACACTAATTGTAGAGCTATGTTTCTATGGGACTAGACTTCTAACGTCATTTCATCTGACATTATACTGGAGTGGTTCCTACACCTTTTACGTCACCCCAGCTGATGTTAATGTTGCCATTGGTCTTGACCCCTTTAGACATCTCGCCTGTAATAAAGTGGTTCCTAGTGGACTAACGTGAGGGTTGCAGCATCTTTGCAGTACAAATTAGTTATATCAATTTTTAATTAAGTCATATAGATCTAAGTAATTGGAGTTTTGTCTGCCTACCTCTTGCTTTTACCTTGTGAAGTCGAACGAAATATAAAACAAGAGGCCCAATGGGCCTGAATCGCTCACCTGGTATTAATCTCACAAATAATCTTTAAAGTGGACTAAAATACAGCTACAGGCAGAATATCAGTGTTTGACTCATAAGAACCTATTAAAGGTTTAAACATATGACGCCTGTGACCTTGAATGTCGAACAAGGACATAAGGTTGAACAGAGTTTATAGTCGTCCAACCAAGCATGCTTCTGGCAAAATATCATTAACCTGGACCTTTTGGTTATACAGAACAAGTCATTTAAAGATTTAAACATATATTGACCACTGTGACCTTGCATATGGGCGAAGGTCATTCATTTGAAAAAACCTGGTAGTCCTTAATCCCAGCATGTTAATGACCAAATATCATCACCCTTAGCCTTTTGCTTATTGAGAAGAGGTCGTTTATAAAGGTTTTAAACATATTTGACCCCTGTGACCTTGAATATGTCAAGGTCATTCATTTTAACAAACTTGGTAGCGCTTCATCCCAGCATGCTACAGGCCAAATATTATAACCCTCAGCCTCTTGGTTATTGAGAAGTAGTTTTAAAGGTTTTAAACATACATATTGTATTTGACCCCTGTGACCTTGAAAATGGGTGAAGGTCATTTGTTTGAACAAACTTGGTAGCCCTTCATCCCAGCATGATACTGGTGAAATATCATCACCCTTAGCCTTTTAGTTACTGAGAAGAAGTTGTTGAAAAGTATTTAACATATTTGACCCCTGTGACTTTGAAAATAGATGAAGGTCATTCATTTGAACAAAATTGGTAGCCCTTCATCCATGCATGTTACTGGCCAAATATCATCATCCAAGGCCTTTTGGTTATTGAGAAGAAGTTGTTTAAAGGTTTTAAACATATTTGACCCATGTGAGCTTGAAAATGGATGAAGGTCATTCATTTGAACAAACTTGGTAGCCCTTGATTCCAGGATGCTACTGGCCAAATATCATCATCCAAGGCTGTTTGGTTATTGAGAAGAAGTTGTTTTAAAGGTTTTAAACTTATTTGACCCCTGTGACCTTGGAATGGGAGAAGGTCATTTGTTTGAACAAACTTGGTAACGCTTCATGCCAGCATGTTACTGGCCAAATATCATCACCCTAGGCCTCTTGGTTCTTCAGAGGAAGTCGTTCAAAGATTTTAACATATTTGACACCTGTGACCTTGAAAATGGATGAAGGTCATTCATTTGAACAAACTTGGTAGCCCTTGATTCCAGGATGCTACTGGCCAAATATCATTATTCTAGGCCTTTTGGTTACTGAAAAGAAGTTGTTTAAGTAAAAAGTTGACGCCGGACGCCGGACGACGAACGACAGACGACGGACGCCGCACCATGGCATAAGCTCACTTGCCCTTCGGGCAGGTGAGCTAAAAAGGAAACAAAATTCCGGGAGTGGTACGGTGCGACAACATCAATATCTTGTCACATTTCTCAACACAGATATTGTTCAATGTTGTTCAAAAGTAATGTTCTTTTAATGAATAAAAACTCAAATTTGTCTGAAAATGTCGAAACCTTCTTGAAATAAAGAAAAATATTATAAATGTTTTAATCATTTTTAGCTCACCTGCCCGAGCCATGGCGCAGCGTCGTCGTACGTCCGTACGTCCGTCCGTCTGTCAACATTTCCTTTAACACGCTACTTGTCCTGAACGGCTCAGTAGATTTTGACCAAAATTGGTCAGAAGCATCGTTGGGGGAAGGGGAACAAATTTTGTATAAACCGTGGGTCTGGCCCCTCAGGGGCCTGAGGGGCGAGGCCTAATAGGGGAAACATAGCAAATTATTCTTTAAAATCCTTCTTCTTCTGTAGGAATGAAAAGATTTGTTCCATATTTGGTGTAGGTCATTCTTTGGTAAAGGGAAACCAATTTTGTATAAATGGTGGGTGTGGCCCCCCTGGGACCTGAGGGGCGGGGCCCATAGGGGGAACATAGCAAATTATTCTTTAAAATCCTTCTTATTCTGTCGGAATGAAAGGATTTGGTCCATATTTTTTGTGGAGTATCCTTGGGTAAAGGGGAACACATTTTGTATAAACGGTGGGTGTGGCCCCCTTGGGACCTGAGGGGCGGGCCCAATAGGGGGAATAGAGGGAAAACTTTTAAAATACTTCTTCGACCATCGAGATTAATTGATTTTATCCTAATTTGGTGTAGATGATTCTATGGCCAAGGGGACTCAATATTGTATAAGCAGTGGGTGTGGTCTCCAAGGGGGCAGAAGGACGAGGTCCAATAGGGGTAATAGAGGTAAATCTTTAAAATCCTTCTTCTACCATAGGGATGAAGGGATTTCTTCCCAATTTGGTCTGGAGGATCTTGGGCAAAAGGGACTCAATTTTGTATAAACAGTGAGTGTGGCCTGTTTGAAGTTTGTTCTCGCTATATATCAAGTACTGGATGGATCTTTCTGAAATTTCATATGTACTTACAGCATCTACCATTGAGTGCTATATCTTTACTTCATACCAATTATTTTAAACACATTCAGGTGAGCGATACAGGCCCTCTGGGCCTCTTGTTATTTAGTGACTTATGTGACGAAGTGTTCCAGTTTGGGTACTCGGCAAGATAAAATTTCCAAATTCATATGTAGGGCAGTGTCTATTTCTGATGCTAATGTAATATAGGTAAGATAAGGTTGATTTACAGGTAACCAGATACAACTAATCTCTTCCGATAGGTTCTTTTGGTGCATGAGCGTTGATATGTAAGCTTACCTGTGCTATGTAAATTGATAGTATGGTACCTAGAGAACAAGACCTCTTCACGCCACCTTACCTTGATAATA